GGGATCAGGTGGGATCTGAGAGACGTTTGGGCTGCTTGATGGTGTATGCAGAGCCTGACCCTTGTTCTTGGGTATGTCTGGAGCTGTGAAGGTGTCTTCTCTCTCACCGAGGTGGGGGGGGGGGGGTTGCCAGTGTATGGGGAGCGGTGGTAGTGGAAGGCTCTCTCGGGTGGGGACTGGGATGTTGTTGGTCAATGTCAGGCACTCTTTGTGGGAGAGGGGGTGTTGGTTGGTGTCAGGGTCTCTCCATGGGGGGGGGGGGCATTTTTGTATTGCCTAGGGTAGCACAAAACCTAAATACACTGCTGTGTCCATGGATACATAGGCTTTTACCAGAGTTTAGGAGCAGCAGAGTTTAGGGGCAGTTAAACTTTCCTCTTCTGAACGCAGATTCATTGCGTTCAGGAGAGGAATATTTTGGCCAAAACACGCTAAATGCGGCAAAAAACGCGTGTAAAAGCTTGCTGCATTTAGCACTTGGGCATTTATCCATGTTAATGGAAAATACTGTGGCCAATCAAATGAATAATCGCATCAAGCGCTAAGCGCGGGTAAACACGGTACTGCGTTTACATGCGTTTTTACCGCGTTTAGCGTTTTTCTGCTGCCAGGAGAGTTTAACGACTATGTGAGTTCATGTGTCCATGAGGCCTAAGAGTGCTCTTATGTAGAGATCAGCGACACTGAGATGCAGCAAAAGAATAAAAAAAAAAAAAAATGGTAAAAAGTATTTTATTGAGAAAGTTAATTGTTTTTGATACAATGCGATACATTTCATTCCGTTAGGTTTCCATGCACTTTAAACAAACAATGTTGCTGCGTGCCGCTATCAGCCAGTTACAAGCAGCAACACAACAGTTTTTATTTTAATAGAGGGGCCATCTGTCTGCAGTCAGCCCATCCAAAGCTGATAACTTTACGTCAAGCTCAGTATAGTCAACACATCATTACCGGATCTTTTCCCGTTAGATTACTTACTAAAATCGTGTTAAATTGTGCATTGAGAGAATGTCAACATGGTAATTATATGACTAAATGATCCTTGTAATGACACTGTGGTGGATTCATAATGAGGTGCTAAGCCACCAAGAGATATCAAGATGGGATTTGTCTGTATAAGGAGCTTGTGGTTGCTGCAGGTTTGGAATTTATGTTAACCAAAATACTTATTGAAAGGGAAATCCATTAAAAAAATACGTGTACACTTTTTGCAGTAAAGTAGTATTAAATTGATTTAAGTTTTTTTTTTTTTTCAACATGTTATACTTACCTGCTCTATGCAATGGTTTTCACAAAGTAGCCCCAAACCTCCTCTTCTGGGGTCCCCAGTTCCTCCTCCCTTCTGGGGGCTTTGGGGGCACTCCTGCGGGCCTGATCCCAGACAAGGCTCTGTGCTACTAATGACACACACAGCACAGCACAGCTTGGCTCAGGGGTGGACTGATCATTCGAGCACTCGGGCACTGCCCGAGGGCCCGGGGTCAGTAGGGGGCCCCATGAGATGCCCCTGGTACCTTTCATTGGCTTTTTCATAGGCTTTTTTGGGTGTGGGCGAGGACACAGGGGCCCCATGATCCCCTATTTCCCAGGGGCCCCATGAGTTGTCAGTCTGCCCCTGACTTGGCTCCATAGTCCACTCCCTCCTCACAGGATTTGATTGACAGCAGCAGCAGCCAATGGCTCCTGCTGTTACCTCTGAGTCCTCTGATGAGTCCTCTGATGAGAAAGAGAGAGAGAAGCACTGCTGCTCTGGGGCACTTGACTGTATCAAGATCGAGCTCAGGTGAGTACAAGGGGGAGCTGGGGGAGCTGGGGGGAACTGATCATGGAAGGTTTTTTACCTTAATGCAGAGAAGACATTAAGGATAAAAAAACCTCCTGCCTTTAGAACCTCTTTAAACTCTCAGCATTTTTTAGCTTAACACATTGAGCACAATAAGCATTCCTCAACAAAGAGTTTGTTAAAGTTCTTACCCCAGTACATGCAGTTTACAACTTTCAATGCTGCTGGCTCCTGATCTCTCAGTGCTTCCCGTAACTTCCAATCTTCACAAAAAAGTGTTGACAATGGACAGTGCAGTCCGGAGACAGGGAGGGGGTAGGAGGAGAGAGGAGCAGGGGAGTGCCTTGCCTTCCTAGTCTACAGGGCTGTGTGTTTCTTTTGATGTACACAGTGTACAAAGGCACAGTTCTAGGCCCTGCTTACAAGAGTGGCTCTAGATGCTCCAAGAGAAAAGAGCCACCTTTTTTCAGATAGTCTTGGGAAGAGCAAACACTTTAATCACTATGCAGAGGTCCAATACGTCCCCTGCAGATTCAGAGCCAAAGCTCTCCAATCAGCAGAGTGCATGAGCTTTGCTGACTGGAGAGTTTAGGACACGTTCATGCTTGACTTTTTTTCCAACCCTTGCCAAACGCCCCTATAGCGTTTGACAAGCGTTGCTCCGAAACGCTCCAAAAACGCTGTATGCACGGTTTAGCAGCGGTTGCTAGGCGTTTGCCAAGCGTTAAAAACGCCCCACGAACACCTATAATGAAGTTTGAATGGTGTTAACGCTCCGCAAACGCCTTGCAACCGCGTCGCAACCGCACCGCAAACGCCGGCCGGGCGTTTGTAGAGCGGCACCATAGACTTGAATAGGAGGCTTCAACTCCTCCTGACCAGAGGCATCCGTGTGAACAGCACTATGTGCTGCAATGTGCAGAATTTTCCTAGGCATTTGGAAAACGGTAAAAACGCTTCCCAAACGCCTGTCTGCCGCTTGCTGACAAGGCTAGTGTGAACGTAGCCTAAGGGCTCATGTACACTGCAGCTCCTAAACTGACAATCAGGAGCTGTTCAGCGTTTTTTTTTCAGCAGCCCCTGAACTCTCCTCTATGTTTTCCTATGTGTCCATGTACACATCGTCGTTTACAGGCAGTTGAGTTTACAGTTGTTTTTTTTTGAATACACCAAACTTGCGTTCAGGAGTAGATTTTACTGGCGCTTGTAAATGCGTGTAAAAGTTCTTATATATTCAGATAAAAAAAAGACCTTCCACCATCCAGGTGATCCTTGTAGTGTAAAGAAAACACCGAGATCCACCACCTTAATCAAATGCACACTCAGCAGACTACAAGCTGTAACAAGTACAGCAGAACCAGAAACGACCTCTCCTGCGCTCTATGACCCAGAGCAAGGGTGGATGGATGGAACCAGAACTTGAAAAATTCGACACCAATGCATATAGGGTTGTGCAGCTCTAAACAAGGCTGGGGAAGCCCGACCAGTACTGCAAAGTGAAACAAAAAAGAAAGCGCACCAACCTTGCACATTACCTCAGTAAACCATAATTGTATTAAATTCAGAATGATACTCACAAACAACTAAGTAAGTCAAGCATGTAAGTCCTCAAAGGAAGTTTAGAAATGTGGAGCCTGTGGAGTCACATCGTAGGGGTAGACACTCAGAGTACGGCTGACGCGTTTCAAAGGGCGTCCCTTCTCTGATAAGCTCTGATGAAGAAGGGACGCCCTTCGAAACGCATCAGCGTACTCTGAGTGTCTACCCCTATGATGTGACTCCACAGGCTTCACATTTCTAAACTTCCTTTGAGGACTTACATGCTTGATTTACTGCGTTGTTTGTGAGTATCATTCTGAATTTAATAAAATTATGGTTTACTGAGGTAATGCGCAAGGTTGGTGCGCTTTCTTTTTTGTTTCACTTTGCAGTACAAGTACAGCAGACACAGCATTGTTTCTCAGGCACAAATCCTCCACAGGGGTATGCTCTTCCACTTCAGAATCACTTCTCATAGGCAACAGCAAAAGGCAAATTCCACTGGAACAGAGAGAGTGAGAGTGAAGACCCCGGGATTGTACAGCGGAGTGACGTTAGAACTGAGATTCCGCACCAACTAGTTTCCTCTAAATGGACATTCTCAAGGACAATTTTCCTTCAGAATGTCTGTTTGGACAAAACTAGTCGGCGAAGAATCTCAGTGCTGATGTCATGCCGCTGTACGATCCCGGGGTCATCAGCGGCTCTCTCAGTTCCAGTGGGATTTGCCTTTTGCTGTTACCTAAAAGGAGTGATTCCGAAGTGGAAGTACATATACCTTTCCTCCCCAGGCAGCCACCTTGGTACTGCGCTCCAAGCTCCCCCTGCAGCTGCTGGTCAGCACAGCGAGCAGGAGAAACAGTGGCAGGAAACCTGCACAGGAATGATTTATGATGAGCCTTTTCTTGCACAAATTCTTAAAGGCGAGTTCTGATTCCTATATTGTCGTGTCCTGTCAATAGTGGATATAACTTACAACATAGTTTTAAATACTTAAAGTGTTACTAAACCCACAACAATAAAATCAGTCTGTACTGTATATGCAGTAAAGCATGCTTGTTATACTCCCTGATGAACCTAAGGGGTTAATCCTCTGCATTGTGTAAAAAGGCTGTTTGATCCTGTCTTCTCTGCCCCTCCTCTTGTTCAAATGTCTATGCTGATAAGACAGACTGAACCCGTGGCCCTTCTGCACATGCCCAGTTTAGTGTGTATTGCTAGAGTTTTTTTTTTTTTTCTTGGGAGAGTGCATGTGATCAGCACAGGGCCAATCAGCACTGTCCAGACAGAGGTCAGGGGTTCTGCATCATCTTAAAGCACAATGAAAACTCATCCTACAAGCTTTAATCAGTGCTTGGCTGGACACTGATAGAAGTCACAAGACTGCTCTAACTGCTGATGAGAAAAGGCATTTAGCAGTTTATATTTACTAAAATAATTGCATTTCCATGTTCTGTGTACTGTGGGAGACCAGATATAGTGAATGCAGGGTCCGGGAAGACCAGATATAGTGAATGCAGGGTCCGGGAGAGCAGATATAGTGAATGCAGGGTCCGGGGAGACCAGATATAGTGAATGCAGGGTCCGGGAGAGCAGATATAGTGAATGCAGGGTCCAGGGTGACCAGATATAGTGAATGTAGGGTCCGGGAAGACCAGATATAGTGAATGCAGGGTCCGGGAGAGCAGATATAGCGAATGCAGGGTCCGGGGAGACCAGATATAGTGAATGCAGGGTCCGGGAAGACCAGATATAGTGAATGCAAGGTCCGGGGAGACCATATATAGTGAATGCAGGGTCCGGGGAGACCGAATATAGTGAATGCAGGGTCCGTGGAGACCGGATATAGTGAATGCAGGGTACGGGGAGACCGAATATAGTGAATGCAGGGTCCGTGGAGACCGGATCTAGTGAATGCAGGGTCCGGGGAGACCAGATATAGTGAATGCAGGGTCCGTGGAGACCGGATATAGTGAATGCAGGGTCCGGGGAGACCGGATATAGTAAATGCAGGGTCCGGGAAGACCAGATATAGTGAATGCAGGGTCCAGGGAGACCAGATATAGTGAATGCAGGGTCCGGGAAGACCAGATATAGTGAATGTAGGGTCCGGGGAGACCAGATATAGTGAATGCACGGTCCGGGGAGACCAGATATAGTGAATGCACGGTCCGGGGAGACCAGATATAGTGAATGCACGGTCTGGGGACACCAGATATAATGAATGCAGGGTCCGGGGAGACCAGATATAGTGAATGCAGGGTCCGGGAGACCAGATATAGTGAATGCAGGGTCTGGGGAGACCAGATATAGTGAATGCATGGTCCGGGGAGACCAGATATAGTGAATGCAGGGTCCTGGGAGACCAGATATAGTGAATGCAGGGTCCTGGGTTTAGTGACACTTTAAGTGTTTTTTAACTGTTCCTTTGAATAAACTCCTGGAATTACTGCACTTAGAAGCACCTTCTTGTCCTCCTTTTCTGACACCACTGAGGCCTCCAGAACAGCTGTACAGTCTAAAGTGTTATTAGGCTATTTCCTGTGCTGGTCAAATGTTTTGAATTGATTTAAAATGGAAAATGCCACATTTGGTCCCAAGATGGCGATAAGTATCTGAAGAAATTCCTATGATACTTAGCACCATCTAGTGGTCAGATGCTGTATTTTCTGTTTTTTAATTAATAAAAACGATTTGACAAGCCCAGGAAATAGCCTAATGACATTTGTTTTTTGCCCCATATGCACAGAGCGAATGTACATGCACATTTACTGGGTGAATTGCTAAGCAAATGTTTTCTTAATACACCCCATAGAGTATGAGAAGTTGAGCCATACAACTTCAGTTCCACTCCGATGACTGTGACTGATACAGGTGGAAACATTTATTTCATAGAGAGAGCAGCAAAGTATGAGTATATCCTGACATTGATGGAGGCACAGCGTGTAAACTGAACTTCCACAAACAACAGCTGCATCGTTTCTTTTCAGCTGGGCACATCACATTCTCATTATCTGTTGTACTAACAAACAAGCCCACAATCTCCCACAGTTAATTCCTTCCATGCAGAACTGAAATGTTCAGGCCTTGGGCATGGAATTTTATGACTACCCCACAACCCTCTATCAAATGTCAAGCTCATCAAGGATCATTGTACAAAATCTGTAAATATACAAAGGATAGAATGTATTGATATTTAAAATAAACTATAATTTATTTTCCATGAGCACATTTCTTTATTGCTGTAATATCTACTCTTGATGTAATTTCTTACGCAGATTTCTACTTACCTCCTCTAGTGACTATCTGTATTTCTCTGCATCACTAAGGAGTGTATTTGCTGAAAATTTGCAGAGCTGTTCATCCTGTGAAACTGCATGTACATTTGTTCTGTGTAAATGGTGGCAAAAAACGAATGTCATTAGGCCATTTTCTCCCCAGGTCAAATGTTTTTCATTCATACCCAATAGAGTGGTTTGGGAAAATACCACCTTAAGGTCACTAGATGGCGCTGATGATCCTAGTAAACCATTACTAGGATCATCAGTTTAATGCAGTAATCCACTCACCCTGTAATTCGCCCTTCGACACGTGTCTTGGTGGGTCAGTGGGCATTTGGCATGGTGGATCTACATCGCTGGACAACGTGGATGACAGTGAGTGTACATTGTGAAACTTTTTTTTTCATTAAAGGATATGTCTTTGTTTTCCTTTACATTTTTGGAAATGAGTAAATGTACTAGATACTCTTTACTTATTCACATGAGGAGGGTAGTGGTATCTGGGAGCCCCCTTATCATTAAAGGGGCTTCCAATAAACCCCCATCCGCAGAGCCTTACAACCAATGGCCCAGGGCTGTCGGGAAGAGGCTCTGTCCTCATCAACAAGAGAACAAGGTGCTTTGCCAAAGGGTCCCCCTTGGCAACGTACCCCCCCACCATAGTAAGGCTGCATGCTCAGATAAAGGGTTTGGTATGAGTTTTTTGGGGGATCTCATACGTTTTGCATGGGGATCACCCTTAAAATCATAACTAGACTGGAGGGGTTGGGGGCTAGTCCTGAGGGCAGGATAGGGGGGGCAGTCCAGAGGGTGGGCTAGGGGGGCAGCCTAGAGGGCAGAATGGGGGGGGCAGTCCGGAGGGTGGGCCAGGGGGGCAGTTCGGAAGGCAGCTGGTGAAGCAGTCCTGAGCAGGGGCGGACTGACAACTCATGGGGCCCCCAGGCAATAGGGGATCATGGGGCCCCTGTGTCCTTGCCCAAACTCAAAAAAGCCTATGAAAAAGTTACCAGGGGCATCTCATGGGGCCCCCTACTGACCCCGGGCCCTCGGACAGTGCCCGAGTTTCCAAATGGTCAGTCTGCCCCTGGTCCTGAGGAAAGGCTGGGGGGCAGACTGAAAAGGCAGGCTGGGGGTGGTGGTCTGGTGCATCATCGGAGCTGGCTGCCTACATCTGGAAGAGGCAGCCACCTGAAGAGCACCAAGATGGCAGTGCAGGACCCACTGTGTGGCACCAGTACAACGGTTCACAGCTTGAAAACGCTAGATTTGGTATGCGGCTGAACAGGGCCATTGATAAGGGGTATAGGGCACTGGTCAGCAATGGGGCCCAGGCAGTGAGTGAATTGGATGTTGCCATGGTGGGAGGGGGGGGGGCAATTACTGGAACCGATCCCCTGTATGGCTTAAAGCTGGCTTCTTCTCTCCCACCCACTGGCTTTCAGCTGCTGCAGAGAGAGAGCCATACAGGGGGTCAGTTCCAGTATATGCCCCCCGGTGCACCCATCACCCTCGCTGTGCACCATATATTTCCCGCTACTGTCCAGGCCCCCCTGTGTAGCCCCACCCCCACAGAGCTGCCAGCTTCCCTCTTCTTAGCACTGGCAGCTGCAAGCACACAATAGGATCCTTCATGATGACGAGTGAGGGAAGGTTCTGGTAAATATGTCACATCTACCACTTCCTTTATTGAAGGAACACAATGAGTGATCGGTACTGATCACTCACTGTGTTCATAACTGAAGAATAGTAAACTGTGCTTTTTTTTTTAGGGAGGGGGAGCTGTCAGGTTGGCTGTATGGGACCTCGGCTTCTAACAGATGCCTTGCGGATGAGTATGTGATTTGAAGAGCACTACAGCAATACAGGTAAGTGAGAAAAAAACACAGGGGGGTGGGTGGAGTTGAATTCCATTTATTGAATTTAATTTATTAGTCATATATGTAAAGTCCAACTAAATCTACTAATCCATCTGAAACTACCCTCTCCAGGCAATGCGGCTCTCCAAGAGTATCTCCATGGCTCCTTCATTTATAGAGGAGCCACCCTAAGATGTGTGTTACAGACCAGATCACCAGGTGAAAATAAGGGGAAAAAGAAAACTAATGCAGTCACAACTAAAGAATGGTAAGCTGCAATGTAGTTTTTGGTTTTGGAGTTTAGATACTACATGCTTTAATACTACGACTTCATTTTATGTATTTTTTTTTTATTTATTTTGGTCATAGTTTATTTATTTCAGGTACTGTCAATTTACACAGCGCTTTACATATATATTGTACATTCACATCAGTCCCTAATCCTCAAGGGGCGTACAATCTAAGTTCTACATTACATATATACACATACTAGGGCCAATCTACATCTACATTCATACATACACATACTAGGGCCAATCTACATCTACATTCATACATACACATACTAGGGCCAATCTACATCTACATTCAATCTACATACATTCATACACACACATACTAGGGCCAATTTAGATAGGATCCAATTAACCTACCAGCATGTCTTTGGAGTGTGGGAGGAAATCGGAGCATCTGGAGGAAACCCATAGTTTCACTTTAAATGTATAACCCTGCAACTCCAAACCTAAACCTAATCCATATCTCAGCCAAAACCATCAGAAACAGCACTACGACATGAAATCTACACAGAAAATCCTGGGCACCAGAATACAATGTACCAAACATCCAACACCTAATTATTCCACACACAGATTATCTCCTGGAAAGCTGTTGGGCCCAAGCCTAAGAGGGTAACAGTGCACTTATCCTATTCCTCAATTACATAAATGCAAATAGAAAAAAGATGTATGACAGATTTAAGTGATAAGAATATCATTTATGGCGGTGGAATTTGTCTAGCTTGGACCTATGTTCCATGAGGGCAGGTGTCAGTATTCTGTAATGACAGATGGTAAGCTAGTTTCAGCAGTGAGGTCTGGCAACCATCCACATGTACAAATCTCAGTGAGCCGAATCCCAGCGGAACGTCAACAAAAAATTCCCCGTGGTTTGCTGGAGAGAATTCACACAGGAGAGTTTCCAGAGAGAAAGCTATTTTAAAGAAGCACTCCGCTAGGCATGATTTACAACTACATTGGAAATGCAACACAGATACAATGTAATTTCACATAAAACAATGTGTCCCTGCAGAAATGCTCTTTGACCCCTTTACAGGGCCCTTCCATTGGGCTCTAATGCCTGAGAGCAGGGGCAGACTGACAACTCATGGGGCCCCCGGCAATTGGGGATCATGGGGCCCCTGTGTCCTTGCCCACACTCAAAACACACCCAAAAAAAGCCTATAAAAGATACTAGGGGCATTTTATGGGGCCCCCTACTGACCCCGGGCCCTTGGGCAGTGGCTGAGTGCACGAATAGTCAGTCTGCGCCTGCCTGAGAGTCGGCTCAGTTGGCCCTCACAGCAGTCCCGCTGGTTCACAATCAGAAGGCGTGACCAAGAGCTTTCGGTGACAGCTTGGTCAGTGTGCTGGCGGTGTGCAGTGAGCACGCTCACAGTACACAACCTGAGTTGGGCGTTAAAGCCCACTATTCCCACTGCTGCATATACACTTTACATGGTAAGAGGTTCTAGCGCTTGTAAACGCTTATGAGTACCCAGTATATAAACAAATCCTCCTACATAAGTTGTACCTGTTTATCTGTGCCCTCCCTCTTCTACATCTATTCAAACTTCAGAATTTATAAAGCTTGTCTGAGCTGCAAGAAAAAAGGGGGCGGAGGGCTCAAATGATAAACTGCAGGGCTCAGTGTGGAGAGCTCTGGGAGCTGATTGGCAGGAAGGGACACACCCCATTCACACAGCAAACAGCAACAGAGCTGAGGCTGTCAATCACAGTCTTTGTGCTGGAAGTCCCTCCCCTGTCAACATTTTTTTCTTGGTGTCAGGAAAACTCATCAGAAATGATTCATGCAGATGGAAGAGGAATGAAGCAACAGACAGAACTTAACACTAAACGCTCTTAATTGAGAAAAGTATACACTATAGAGATATATGTCTTGTTTATATTTCATATCCGA